GCAGAGTGAGCGGGACACGTGGTGATCTTTGAAGCGGTTGCACAGACAGATGATGGGAACACTTGCCATGCTTTCCTAGATTATAGGGATAATGGTCATCATGGTAGCGTATAACGACTGACTGATAGTGACGTATTGGAAAAAGTGTAACGATGGCTCTGATGTCAGCAGTAGTTGGTAGAAGACGAAAAGTTCACTGTAAACTTATGTGACCAAGGAATGGACAGGTGTCGAATAGAAATATCAAATAATGACTATTTCTTCTTATGTCAAAATTGACATTCTTGGAGGGCAATTTGTTAGCTCCTAAATTTGACACTCACATATATTTGCCTTATCGGCTAAAAATATATTAAAGAAATCTAAGCTGAAGACACTTCGACAGAAGAGCCTATGAAAAGAGTTGTGTAGAAGTCATCCTTGCTAAGAAGGATAAAACACTTAGAGAATTTTCTAAGTTAAAGACAATTTTCGACCGGAAAGCTCTTGTATGAACAACAAGTGGATTTGAATCTGAAGAAAGAAGGGAAGTGCATTTCATTTGGCAGTTGGGGAAAGCGACGTGGCGTGAAGATAGGGGTTGAAGAGCATGCAGAGGACACTTGTCCTCACCCTGGAACAAAGCAACCGTTCGATAGTTACTTATTATTAGTATAAATATAGGAATCTTATGTAGAATTTCATGTGTTCAACTCATTGTACAAGTCACTCAATTTTATTCAAGTACCCGCTGTGAGAGAATGAATATTGAGAATGTACGTTTGAATCACCATACTTTATTGCAATCGAAGTCTTTACATTTCTTTACAATCCTTTCCATTTAACATTTCTATGCAAACTTTACCATTACAACCTTTTAAATTACTGCAAATTTACTTTATCATGCACTTTACTTGCATTTTTATCAAGTTTTTACCTTCATCCTGCCTTTACTCTTAGTATCCTGTCGAACACGTTCATGAACAACATTTAGACTTCTTATCAAACCCCAAAAACACTTAGCATATGTCCTAGGATCAAACTGATCGATCCTGCAAGTAACCAAAATAACCTTTTTTGGAAGATCAACGGTTGTTTACCAATTTTTATGGTAAATACGTGGCCCCTATCTGCAGATACTGGCAGACAAGCTCGAACACCCACATGAACGCCATCGCATTTGGATAAAGTTGAGAGAGCGGAAATTGAAGCCACTGAAAAACCCCCACTCAGAAATCATTGAAGGGTAAACACATCCCCGCCTCTTTAAATGCAAATTCATAGACAGGAAAACATTTACCCGGATACGTCAAGCTGATTCTCCGGTTGCAGTGGGGAATTTGAAGTATCCAGTTGGCAGGGGCCCCTTCCGCTCGTACCTCCGGACAGTTGAACGCGTCCTTTGCATCCTGAGAAAAGTACAACCTCTTATTTCGAGGCTCAGGTGTGACCCAGGCCAGAGGGTCCTCATCAACACGTGGTTTATCTTCATAGTTGGCGGGCATGACATCATCCCCGACCGAATACGCCATTATACCTAAAAAGCAGGGGGAAACAGTGAATCTGACATTATTAAATTCACCCTTCCACCGCAGATCAAGTGAAAGGGCGATGAACTCGACCCAAGCCCTCGACTATACGCTAAAGTGGACTATGTTTTCGTTGAGGGACTACGTTTTCGTGGGGGATATTCACTCAAACGGGAAAGAAGCTCGAGTCAACCCCTATTGCCCGGGGAGATCTTCCCCCCTATATCACGGCCACTATTCGGGGAGATTGTCCCCGACATCGTAAACTAAAGAATTTCAATGAACATTCATGAGTGTTTGTCGCAAAACTCATGAACTTCAATGAACATTCATGAGTGTTCATCATATAACTCATGAATATTCATCCAGTCAAGGCAAATATTAGGTGTTTAATCTAGAAACGATGAGGAAATATGTTGTTGAGGAGATATAACTTACTTGGATGAAGATTTCTTGAAAGAAATCTGGAAAAGTTGAGAGGAAAGCTTCACGTGCGAGCAAGAGAAGTTGAAGGAGAACTTGAGAAAATGAAAAATGAGACCCAAGGGTCCCCTTTTATAGGTGGCTCACACCCCACGAGGTTCATCATGAAAATTCATCATTGGATTGGTCCTTTTGGACTCCCTCTGAAGGGATGGCACCCCAAAACAATAACCACGTGACCCAACAATCTACCACGTGTCAATTTTCAATAGACGAACACATCCCTGACTTTAATGCGTAATCCCCACGCGAGTACGAGACAAACACTTCACACGAGGGAATGCTCGACACCATGGCTGAAGCGTGTATACATGCACATTCATTATGATCTACCTCGAGGGCGAAATAACGCTCGACATCATAACAACCCCTTGAAGACAGAAACGTCGAAAGAGATCTCGCATAAGCTCCCCGTAACTTATACGGTCCTTTCGGGAAAACAACTGACCCCGTTTGTCTCATTGCTCATATGTCCATAAGATCACCGACACACTCAAACAGGTTATCCCCTACGCGAGCAACAACTCGCTTCCTTTCAGAAGAATTTGACCATCCTCCCCGACCAAATCCTCTCCGGCTATAAAAGCTGAACTTAAATCATCACCCTTTCACCTAAGGGAAATAACTTGGGGGGCTCCTGATCTGGACTGAGCCTGCACTTGTCCCCCAGTCGGGAGGCCCAATCCAACACCCTTGTATAAGGCCCACAAATAAGCAGCCCAAGTTAGGGACCGTTGGGCAACTCTCCACACATCCGTTGGGGAACGTGGGCCACGTTCCCACATCATAGTCATCTTAACTACCCTTAGGAAATTACGGGTCCAACCCTTATTTTTATGGAGCAGTTGACCAGGGGGGAATCCACTTGCTGGACTCCATACACATGTAAGCCCTGGAAGTTTCCATTATTAGGCCTCAATGTGACCCAATAATGGGGACCTTAGCCCAACGCTGGGGGCTATAAATACCCTTTCTTCCGAGAGGGTCGGGTATTAAACAATTTCTCACTCTCTTACTTGCTAGCTCATTCTGAATCTCACTTTGGCATCAGACTGTCTTGTAGGTACCCCCCCACTTCACTCTTAAGTTCTGCTCGACGTAAGCTGTGACGGTCCATTCTGGTCAGGTACGATCAATATCCAAATCTATTCCTTCTTGGCTGAAAGAAATTCTAATGAATCCAACAATACTAATACAAGCATAGAAAATAACATAGTATTGTCTTATTCATGAGGATAAAAAAGAAGATTTTTAGTACTAAAATGGGCACTATCAAGAAAAAGTCGCCTTATGCTTTTGACATTTCAATTTATTCGATGTGAATATGTCCTCTCCAGAAAAAAGAAATCCTTTCATTATTATTCATTGTTAAGAAACCTAACAAATGAATTCTCTTTTTAATTTTTTTTTAATTTTTCTTCTTCTTTGCCCTATAAAGATATTGAATAGAAGGAATTATTTTTTTTTCATTGAAATTTTGAAAAAACCCGTTTAAATATCCTTAAAAATAAGTAAATAAATTCGAAACATATAAAATACAGTTAATCCCGTGACAGAACAAGCTATTATTGCAAAAATTGATAATACTACTCATTATCATTGAGAATCTCATCTTTAAACCAAAAATAAATAAAAGATAGGATAACCATCAAGAGAAAGTATCCCTGAAAAAATATACTTATAAATTTTTTTTTTTGTAATTGATGAATATCTTCCTAACTTAAAACTTTACAATTTTCTTAATTTATTATTTTAGAGTTTACAAGTTAACTATATAACGATTTTAAAAGACAATTTGTTAATTTAATCCATCTAAAAAAAATTGTTACAAAATATTTCTTCAGTCTCAGAATAAATATTCTCTTTTCTATTTTTATTTATCTCAAATTATTTATCTTTTTAAAATTCTAAATTAATATTTATTATTTAGTTTTATTTATTATATTTTAATTTATATAACTAATTTATTACTTATTATTATTAATATTAACTTATTATTAAAATTAATATGAAAATCTTATAGACATACTTATTGTGAGATGGAGGAAGTAATAAACTACAAAACGGCGTCGTCACGTTTAGGTTCGTTAGAACATGTCCAATCCGTTACAGCCACACCTCTTTCTGAACTTCCCCGTCAGCAACTGCAATGGGCCGTAGACCACCCAAATCCACAGCCGTAGTCCCACCGTTATTCCGCCGCATCGTATCTCTCGACGACCGCATCTCCCGCTACATCCACACCTTCACGAGCCCCCTCGCCCCTAAACCCTTCCTACGCTCCCTAGAACACCTCGCCGATTTCCGCTTATTCTTCCCCGTAACACTCTCACTCTTCTTCGCCACTCCCTCTCACTCTCCGCTCCGTCCCCACCTCCTCCTCCCTCTCATCCTCTGTTCTCTCATCGATCTCATCTTCATAGGTTTCCTCAAGTTCCTAGTTCGAAGACCTCGCCCTTCCTACGCCATACACGGCGACTACAACGCCGTTGTTCCCGTTGATAAATTCTCGTTCCCGAGTGGTCACTCCTCCAGAGTATGTTTCATTGCGTCAATCTTTTCAATCTCCCGTGCTCGGATCGTTGAAGCTGTGGCTGATCCTAGCCATCCGCGGCTTAATTTGTTCGTTCAGAAGTGGATCGAGGGAGACGAAGCTATGACAGTTAATCTGTTGGTTGCTGCGGTTTGGTGTTGGGCTTTGACGACGGTTGTTTCTAGGGTTGTTCTTGGAAGGCATTATGTTCTCGATGTCGGCTTCGGGGCGTGCTTCGGTGTTCTGGAAGCTTTGTTCACCTTGCATTTTCTCAATTTCAGTGTTTTGATTTGAGGTAAGAATAGATTTTGAATTGTTAAGTTGTATTGCTATCTTGATAATATGAAAATGGTTGAATTTAATCACATCTGCTATGTAGGATTATGCTACAATTTACACTACACTAGCTTGTTATCTTTCTGTTGGCAAAAATATCAATGTCCATTTTGTTGTTTAGCTATCCAGAGATGACTGTTCTAGCTGATAATTTTTTTTTTTGAAGATATTTTATTGAGGGTTAAGTAGATAATCAGTTTGAATTCAAATTTGCCATAGAAAGAAATTGCAAGCCGGGGACATAGACACACAGAGAGAGGTTGAGAGATCAACTTCACAAGTAGAGTAGTCAATCCTAGATAACAGCACAAAGTGGCCGACTCAAAAAATTGGATAGCAGGATAGCATATAGGGGGATAGCAGTGCGGAGTGGCCCCTATTTGATCTCTTTTAGACAAATTACATAAATAATCATAATAATTATAAACATATGAAGTGCCGAGGGAAGAACGATGTGCACAGAGAGCTGGGGGAAGAACTTGTGATTTTTCTTTGAAACGACTGAAGTCCACAAATGTTGGTGACGAAAAGTTAGGATTGAGTCTGAACTCAAATTTGATTGAAAAACTCAAAATTACCCTTAAAACGTTTTAAATTTAAGGGGTAATTTCGATTTTTCAAAGAGGAAAAGGATAGCAGGACAAAAACCGCTCCGGTTCGGGAACCGCTCCGACCATGCTAACTGCTATTTACTCTATAGCTGCTGCTATTGTGTTTTGCACCGCTAAGACTCTCCCAATAGCGGCTGGCCTCCACTCCGCCATGCTATAGTGGGATAGCGCCGCTATTGACTACTCTGGTATTAGTATACAAAGAGTAAAATCCATAGCAATCGTGGTCTTACTGTAATGGTTTTAATTGTCTCCTCAGAGGCATCACGACTGTATTGAACACATTTGTCCGTAATTTGATGCAATATCAAGGTTCTATACGAAACTGTTACTGCAATCACCATTTAGAACCTTATTAAAACCTATAGGGGAAGATGCAAGATAAGTTGCAACAAGAAAATGAAGTTGAAATGTTAGGGAAGCTAAATGCTAGCTGGGATGAGTCTAACTCTTTGATCTGATAGATAATAAATTGGTTTATATCTGTCCTTGTTTCAATATAAAACATCTTTTCTAAGAATGGGATGATGTAATTGCTAATGAGTTTGGATCTTTTTATTTATTGAATTTTCATATTTATCTATGCAATCCTTATTTTGTCTCTATGAGAATTCTATCACTACCAGCAAAGAACTTTCATTATGTATTAACATTTGTTGGATATACTTCCTATAAAAAAAGCATTTGTTTTGCCTCGGTCATTTATTTCTAGGTCTGCCAATAAACTCTACTGATAGTGCCATATTCCTCCACAGTATCCTCCCCAGGAAACTACCAATTTAGTTGGTGAAAGAAATTTTTTACAAAAGAGTTACTGCAATTTATTTAATTAAAAATGCTTCTTTGATGTGTGTCTTTAGCATAGTTGCTTGAGAAATGTTCTTTTGAAACTTGATTGTACGAAATATCAATATAGTGGAAAAACTACTGGTGTAATGTGTATTTTTGTAAACATTCTATGCATGTGATATAAGGTTAATTCACTGAAACTACAAAAATGCATTTCCTTTTTTTTTTTAAACCATTTCATGAACGTTATTTGTTTTTGTAAATAGTTTTTTTTCTAATCCTATCTATCTATGTTAGCTTTGTTATGCATAATCGGTTCCAAGCACAGATAAAAAGAGAGGATTGTGTTAGATAGTCTACAACTAATGTAAAACTTTGTCGAAACTCTATGATTTGAAATATTTTTTTTTGGTTTAGTCAACCTGTTCCGATCCATATAGTGAACCGACTAATCTGGTTTCATGGTTCAGAGAGACGAATCACTGGCCAAGTCTTGTTTTCACCAAGAATCGAACTTGAGTAGTATCTGAACGATTCGTCTTTAGTAGAAGCTCTTTTTCCACTAGAGCCCAAGTACTTGGTTGACTTGAATTAAATATATAATAATGTGAATGCTAGGTCGTTACCTGGAAACAACGCACTGAATGGCTGGAGTACAATTTCAAATGAGCAAGGGACGTTGCGTCGCCGTTTGAATGCAGTGAAAAATTAAGAAGGTTCTCACATTTTCATGAACGAGTATGGGTAAAAAAATTAGTTCATGAGAATAGGATTTGCTTTGGAACATGGAATATAGGCATATTTACTGGAAAATCTATGGAAATAATGGACAGTATGACCAGGAGGAAGAGGAAGATAAATTTCACTTGTCTACTAGTAACTAAGTGAAATGGGGAAAGACTTAGACAGCTTAGAATTTAAGATTTGGTACATAAAGTTAGATCGAGAAATAGGGTCGAGAAATAGGGTGGGGATTAATGTAGACAAGAAGTGGAGGAAAAATATTATGGATGTAAAAAGAGTTGGAGATCAGATTGTAGTCCCAAAATTTGTGGTGAAACAAGACACCTTTAAATGTTATTAGTGCTTACACACTTCAGGTTGGACTATCAGAACACTTTAAAGTAAACTTTTAGGAGGATTTAGAAGGCTTATTTCGGAATATACCCCAAAGAGAGAAATTTTTTCTAGGAGTGGATCTAAATTGACACGTAGGAAGCGTAGCCAGAAGTTTTGAGGGTATGCAGAAGGGGTATGGTTTCGAGGAGGTAAATGCAGAGGATAAATCCATCATAGATTTTTTATCGGCTTTTGATCTTACTATAGGTAATGCATTCTTTAGGAAGATATATGCTTCTTTATGGGAGGTTTTTATTTCCCTATTTGTAAAATGTGTTACATAAGGTGTATATATACACAATAGGAAGGAGATAGACTAAGCTAACAATTAATTCCTACCATTATTTTCTATATATACAAAATGAAAGAATCATGGATGTTGTAGTAAATAAATGGGATATAATTTCCTGAATTACTGTGCAAGAATTATTGTCAGATGGTTGTCATGATATGTCGTAAAGGATGCAGATCAGTAGATAACATGTAATTAATTCCATATCTATATTCAACACTATCCCCTCAAATTAAGTCATAGATGTCAATCATGCATAGCTTCAATCTTAAGCTCTCAAAGTTTGCTCTAAGTAACACCTTCGTCAAAATATCTGCAATTTAATGACTTGAAGGTGTGTGCTTAGTTTTCATTATTCCATTATAAATTTTCTTCTTTATGAAGTGTCGATTAATTTCCAAATGTTTGGTTCTGTTATGATGCATTAGATATTTTGCAATACTAATGGTAGCTTTATTATCGCACAATAAAATATGGTGTTATCAGTTTTGGACTTCAAGTTCCTCACATCCTTTGTAACCATATTCTTTCACAAATTCCACGGGCCATGGATCTGAACCTAGCTTAAGCACTGCTCCTAGCAACCACACTTTATTTCTTACTTCTCCAAGTTATTATATTCCCCCAAACAAATGAGCAATACTCACTTGTTGACCTTTGATCTGTCACTGAAACATACATGTTCGCACCTGTAAATATTTCTACATTTTTTCTTCTACGAAGCACAATCCCCTTCCTAGTGGCTTGTTTGTCACCTATACTTGCAGTTTAAGCTTGTTGTGAAAGAATGACTTCATCATATGAGGATATTCTCCACAAAACAACACGCTTACAAATCATCTTCGTCATCTTCAAAACCATAACCGGTTAGTAATAAACTCAATTACTCTATAGAAATTAATTGTTTTGATTGTTCACTAAAATTCATTGATGCATCTTATTTAGTTTGTTAAGGGTCATCAGAGGTTTGTATAACTTGGAGATCTTGAAATATTTAAGAAGTGTTTATGTTCAATGACAACTCTAACATCTACCTATGTGACATCATCAATAATCCCTATGTCAATCCAAATTACAATAATTCCTCTGTCAATCCAAACTACACCCACTACCCATGTTTCTACACAAACAACATAAAAAATAGAGACATTTCCTCATCATCACATTTCATCCTCTCACTCTGAAGATGTTGTGGTAGAAGATGAGACCAAATTTGGGAAGTAAATGTTATTAGTAAGTAATTTAGTGTTAAAGTTTTTTTAAATAATTTAAAATTAAATGTGTTATATAGTTGAGTTATGTCATGTTTTGTTTATTTTGTTATGTGATAAATGAGGCTGATTATATTTCAAACACACGTTTATGTGTACAGATTTGATTGGAAAAATTCTTGATTAAACAAGGATAACAATTAGATGAAATTCAGACCGTCTTTCAATAGGATCATCTGCTCGTTTGTTAGCAAAGTATTCTGGTAGAATTGTTAGATTGTTTCAAGGCTTTCCCATAATGTTCGATATTGACCAATGGTTTAAAAAATATTTAGTTGTATATTAATGATACCTTTGTCTTTGTATCATTAAATTTTATTTTATTATCACTTGGAATTTCCTTCCAATTATCGAACATTATGAAAAAGTCTTGAAACAATCTAACAACTCTACCCAAATACCTTGCTAACAAATGAGCAGATGATCTTACTTGGAGACGATTTGAATTCCATATAATTATAATCTTTGTTTAATCAGGAGTTTTTCCAATCAGTCTTGCACACATAAACATGTGTTTGAAACATGACCCGCCTCATCTATCCCATAAAAAAAATAAACAAAAAATGTTATAACTCAACTATGTAATACATTAATATTTAAATTATTTAAAGAAATTTTAACCCTAATTACTTACTAATAACATTTACATCTCAATATTGAGAACTAGCGACATGAACAATTTCAGTCTCATCTTCTACCACAACATCTTCAGAGAGAGGGGATGAAATGTCATGATGAGGAAATGTCTCTGAAGAAAGTGATGATTCTGTAGTTTGGATTGGCGAAATAGGTTATTGTTGTTGGTGGTGCAGTGACTTGGTTAATTGATGTAATTTGGATTGACGAAGGAGTTATTGTAGTTTGGATTCACCGGGGATGTCAAATAGGTAGATGTTAGGGTTGTCGCTGAACGTAGGCGTTTCTTGGATATTTCAAGATCTCCAATTTGTACAAACCTCAGATGACCGATGATGGTTTTGAAGATGACAAAGAAGATTTGTAAGCGTATTGTTTTGTGGAGAATACCCTCATATGATGATGTCATTCTTTCATAAAAAGTTTAAACCGTAGGTATAGGTGATAAACAAGTCAGTACACTCTGACTAAAAGTTATGTGAGCCTGTAACGTATTGCAGAATGCGATTTATAGTCCTTATGTGAGCTTCTCTAGGGTCATTAATGTAACGACTTACCGAACTAATAGAAAAGCCAATGTCAAGCTGTGTATGTGTTAGGTAGATTAGTTTTCGAACTAATCTTTGATATCTTTCTTTGATATCTTTCTTTATTAGTGGATGAACTTTCTTCTTCACATCCAATTTGAATATTGAATTCCATGGGAGTGTCCGCTGGCATACACCCCAACATCCATGTTTCTTGAAGTAAATCTAATATATACTTCCTTTGTAATATGTAGATTCCATGTTTGGATCACACGACTTCCATCCTAAAGAAGTAGT